CGTCCAACACCCTGCACTGGCCCAGATATACAAAATACACAAACCAAGTTTTTGGAGTGAAAATGACCATAGCAGCCTTTTATTAACCAATAAATTATTTCAACATAAATAACATAACATTCCAAAAATTAGAAGCAGAGGAAAAACATGGTGGTCATTTGAGGGCCATAAACCCAACTTACCTTTTGCAGAAAACATTCCTTCAACTTAGGCCCCCAGCTGCAACCCATCGGCTTGGAAACAATCCTACTTATCCCCAGCTGCAACCCACCAGCTTGGAAACAATCCTACTTATCCCCAGCTGCATCCCACCACCTCGGGGACAATCCTACTTATCCCCAGCCGCAACCCACCGGCTCGGGGACAATCCTACTTATCCCCAGCCGCAACCCACTGGCTCGGGGACAATCCTACTTATCCCCAGCCACAACCCACCGCCTCGGGGACAATCCTACTTATCCCCAGCTGCAACCCACCGCCTCGGGGACAATCCAACTTATCCCCAGCCACAACCCACCGGCTCGGGGACAATCCTACTTATCCCCAGCCGCAACCCACCGCCTCGGGGACAATCCTACTTATCCCCAGCCTCAACCCACTGGCTTGGGGACAATCCTACTTATCCCCAGCCACAACCCACCGCCTCGGGGACAATCCTACTTATCCCCAGCCACAACCCACCAACTTGGAGACAATCCTACTTATCCCCAACTGCAACCCACCGGCTAGGGGACAATCCTACTTATCCCCAGCCACAACCCACCAACTTGGAGACAATCCTACTTATCCCCAGCCGCAACCCACCGGCTCAGAGACAATCCTACTTGTCAAGAAAACCAGAGAGCACACAGAGATGGATTGCACGGAACCCGACGTGTGGGCGTTTATTGGGGAGGTTTTTGGGACACAGACAACAGTTCTTAAAGTCCATAGATCCACACCAGACACAGCAACACAGTAAAGTTCTCTGGAAGGCAACATGGAACAACGAGGGTATGGTAATCCACAGGGTTTCAGTAAGGCAAGGGCGGGGTGGTTTTGTGGGAATTTGGGTTCCTGGGGAGAATTGGGCTCAGTCTTTTGGGCAGCATGGGGTTAGCCCACTTACTGGATGCGGAGAGCCGAACACAGAGGGCTACAGTCCACACAGGCAGCACAGGGTCAATTCACACAGGCAGCTCCAGGCAGGGAAGGGTTAAATCTGTTTGGCTCACGGGCAACAAAGAGTTAAATCCAGGCAGAGAAGGTGTCCAGCCCACAGGCTCACAGGAAACAAGAGGTTAAATCCAGGCAGGGAAGGTGTCTAGCCCGCAGGCTCACAGGGAACAAGAGGTTAAGTCCAGGCAGGGAAGATGTCCAGCCCTCAGAGAATTCACCACACACAGGAGAGGGATCCAGCAGCAGACGGGCAGTCAGGTCAGCCAGAGAGAGGAGAAGGGGGCCGGGGGATGGTCATCCGAGAGAAACTGGCACTGCAGCACAGTCTTCTCTCAAACACGTAGCCAAGAGAACACAAGGGGGTTGCCCTGCTCTCTCTTAAGAACAGAGCTGGGTGCCTTGCTGCTGCAGTGGTAACCCGAGACCTCTGAGTTACCATGGCAACGGGCCCCATCCCCCAGGTCTCTGAACCCGCCCAGGGAACAAGGCCTTTGTCCCTGTCCGGCATGGAGCCCGGGAAGATGTGCACGAGGGGGAAAGGAGGGGGGTGGGGGCCTGTCGGTGGATTCCCTCAGCAGGGGGGCAGACTTCAGGCGACACAGGGTGAGCATAAACGGGACAGAAGAGTGAGGGGCTGCTGAGGGGTGGGGGGTGGCAGGCAGCAAGCCTAGATGATGGGGGAGGAAGGGCCAGCTCCATGACACTACTTATCCCCAGCCACAACCCACTGGCTCGGGGATAACCCTACTTATCCGCAGTGACCACCATTTGACCTATTCCAAGTTAACCCCTTGGTAACCAGAATGTACCGAGGTCCCCATACCACTGATTGGTCCCAAATCTGTCTCCATACAGAATTCTTTCCTCCTCCAAAGACTAACCACCACCAAGGCCAATGTGACAATCCAAACCAAAGCACGAAGGGGAGGGAGGGTGGGAAGCTTCTTCTTCCAACTTCCCCCCACTGGACTTCCTGAAATGGGAAACTTCTTTTCCTACCTGTGAACCCTCCCCAAAATCCCAATCCAATCAGGTAAGTCATACTCCTAAAACTTCCTACCCTATCCTACCCTATATTTTGTCCCTCTATTCCCCCCAGTCATGTCATCCCTGCGCTTAATTTTTTTTTTTTGCTCCGGGCCTACTTGGACTTCCCTCATCAGCCAAGACATATTTGCTCATTCTCAACTATGAGTTTAACACATACACATTTGTATGCGTTGAATGATTCTAAGGGCCGGTTCCAGATGCAGTCCAGTGCATTTCTAATCTGCATCAAAAAGGCATGCACAGTTTTTTCCATGTATTCCAATGGCCCTAGTTCACACTAGTGCAGCGTGTTCCAGTTCAGTCAACAAAAGTAGAACATTGTATTTTTTTTCTGCATGGAAACATTGGAATTGCAGCAAAATACTTTAAAAACATGTCCTCAATTGTGATGAAGAAAAAAATTTGAGCAAAAAAATGCACTGAAATGCACCAAAAGCATGCATAAATGCATCCAGAATACTGAAATTGTGGAGTGAACTGGTCCTTAAAGCGGAATGTTCCACCTGAAAAAAAAACTGTAGCTGCTGACTTTTAACCCCTTGGCACCGGCCCTTTAAGGATTTCAGAAGCCAGGAGACAGGGCATGGTTTTAGGGGTATGTGACCTGATTTGCCATCACGGCGGTCACATGATTGGAAAGGTCCTGATCAAAAGAGATCGGGACCTTTCCGTGTGAGTACCAGACATGTGGGCTGGGAGCGTGCAAGGCACGCGCTCTCAGCACATATGTTTTTCTTAATTGCACACAAATGTAGGCCCAGACGCCAGGAGGCCGCACATTTGTGTGCGGCTGGCATGAAGAGGTTAAAATACAGCCACTTACCTGTCCCTCAGTCCAGCAGTGTCTTCACCATGGCTGGTTTCACCGCCTGTCTTCTCTCCCTGTCGCCAGCATCTTCAGTGTGGGCACCCGGCTGTGAAAGCTTGCGGCTTCACAGCCAGTCACCCACTGCGCATGCGTGAGAAGTGCTGTGCTTTGTGAATGGCCCCGTAGTCTTCTGGGACCTGTCCCGTATCCCAGAAGACTACGGGGAGGGAGGGGGGGGGGACAACTTCCACTTCCAATCGCCTAGGCAATCGTAAGTGGGAGCGAGTACCTGTCAAATTCGGGTACCCGCTCCCCAAAGGTACCAATTCTAAATGGGGAGCGGTGGACAAAGGCTTAAAGCTGAACTTCCCCTTTTGGGTGGAGCTCCACTTTAAGTCTAATTTTAAATGCAGTTACACAAAGCACTTTGTTTTGATCAGTGGTATCAGTCTCTTCCAATATCCTGTAGTGTATCCCTGAAAGAGCCACTGGTGAACTGATTCCTTCCCCTGCGATTAGCGCACGCACACCCAGGCACGCAGCATTTCCTCCATCTCCATTGGCTCAAATAGAACAGTCTAGGGGTGTATTTTTGGTGCTTTATTATAAAGTAGAACTCTGGGTTGAAGGGAGCGTGGGATACCCCACAACAGCTGAAATTATTTCTTTGGGAACACTTCTCTTTCCCACTGAACTTTGCAAAATGTCCCACAATCGGCCCGGTACTAGACTATATTTCACCCTAGGCAAAACAAGCTACTTGCACCCACCCCCCACCCCCCCAAATAAAGAATAAAACTGTTTAAAATTTTAGAACAACAAAAAAAAGGCTACATTTCTTGCAGTACAGGTAGCTTTAGAAAAACGAATGTTGTAATAACACGTTGTGCTGAAAAACCTGTCACCTTCCTTGCAAACTATTGTGAACAAAGGCTCAACTAGAAAGGTTAGAAACCTTGCTTTAAAGCTGTGTGATTGGAGCACATAAACACCCAGTGGGGCTTCTCAAAGGTGGAAATAATGTACATAATGGTACTGAGACAGCGACACCATCTCCAACCCGCATGGTAGGAAACCTGGCTTGGTAGAGGAGAGGCTCCCTGGAGAAACCTAAACTCCCTGGAGAAACCTAAACTCCCTGGAGAAACCTAAACTCTCTGGGAGAAACCTAAACTCCCTGGAGAAACCTAAACTCTCTGGAGAAGCCTAAACTCCCTGGAGAAACCTAAACTCTCTGGAGAAACCTAAACTCTCTGGAGAAACCTAAACTCCCTGGAGAAACCTAAACTCTCTGGAGAAGCCTAAACTCCCTGGAGAAACCTAAACTCTCTGGAGAAGCCTAAACTCTCTGGAGAAGCCTAAACTCTCTGGAGAGAAGCCTAAACTCTCTGGAGAAGCCTAAACTCCCTGGAGAAACCTAAACTCTCTGGAGAAACCTAAACTCTCTGGAGAAACCTAAACTCCCTGGAGAAGCCTAAACTCTCTGGAGAAACCTAAACTCCCTGGAAAAACCTAGGCTGGGGCTGCTGTGTGCAGGGATTGACTGCACTCATCCGGAAAAAATGTTTGCTGGGTATGGACATGAAGAGTATGAGCAGATGAGCGGATAGTCAGTGATAATGAGTGAGCCAGGCTCAGACCTTCTCGAACCCCCATCTCTGTTCACTGTAGTGGCTTTTTTGATCTGACTGCCAGGGAGTGATCTGGGCTGTGCATGGTCACCATTTCGATCTGTGACCAAGGCCGATCATCATCCTGCTCCTTCAGACTTCCCCTCCAATAATCAGGCAGGGATGGAGGGAGGGTGAGATCAGTGGGGCTCCCAGGAATCCCCCTCCACTTGCCCTCCACTTGCCTGGCTGGCCGGATTGACTCACCCCAATCCGTATTCCCAAAGAGAAAAGTCTGATCCTCAGCCACTGCAACAGCCCCTGGGTAATGGTGAGCTCCCTGGTAGGGGAAGGGGAGAGCTGCCTGCTCCTTCTCCCCGCCTAGCAACAGTGTGCCAGATGGAGCCACAGGAGCCGCCGCCTCCTCCTTCCAGTAAACTCTGCACCACCCGCCAGGGGGGATCCCAACCGACCGATCCTCTGGCTGGGACACTGATTTATCATCTTCTCGCTTCCACTGAGAGTAGGCAAACCAACGGTCATGGCTGCGCTCTGGGTGGACCTGGCATTCACTAAATCCACTCTCCCTGGACCCTGCGTCCACTATATCCGCTCTCCCCAGACCCTGCATTCACTATATCCGCTCTCCCCGGACCCTGAATTCACTATATCCGCTCTACCCGAACCCCGCATTCACTATATCCGCTCTCCCCGGACCCTGCATTCACTATATCTGCTCTCCCCGGACCCCGCATTCACTATATCCGCTCTCCCCGGACCCCGCATTCACAATATCCGCTCTCCCTGGACCCCGCATTCACTATATCCACTCTCCCCGGACCCCGCATTCACTATATCCGCTCTCCCCGGACCCCGCATTCACAATATCCGCTCTCCCTGGACCTCGCATTCACTATAGCCGCTCTCCCCGGACCCTGCATTCACTATATCCGCTCTGCCCGGACCCGGCATTCACTATGTCCAGTCTCCCCGGACCCCGCATTCACTATATCCGCTCTCTCCCCGGACCCCGCATTCACTATATCCGCTCCCCGGACCCTGCATTCACTATATCCGCTCTCCCCGGACCCAGCATTCACTATATCCGGTCTCCCTGGACCCCACATTCACTATATCCGCTCTCCTCGGATCCTGCATTCACTATATTCGCTCTCCCCGGACCCCGCATTCACTATATCCGCTCTCCCCGGACCCTGCATTCACTATATCCGGTCTCCCTGGACCCCACATTCACTATATCCGCTCTCCTCGGATCCTGCATTCACTATATTCGCTCTCCCCGGACCCCGCATTCACTATATCCGCTCTCCCCGGACCCTGCATTCACTATATCCAAACTCCCTGGACCCGCATTCACTATATCCGCTCTCACCAGACCATGCATTCACTGTATCCGCTCTCCCCGGACCCCGCATTCACTATATCCGCTCTCCCCGGACCCTGCATTCACTATATCCGCTCTACCCGAACCCCGCATTCACTATATCCGCTCTCCCCGGACCCTGCATTCACTATATCTGCTCTCCCCGGACCCCGCATTCACTATATCCGCTCTCCCCGGACCCCGCATTCACAATATCCGCTCTCCCTGGACCCCGCATTCACTATATCCACTCTCCCCGGACCCCGCATTCACTATATCCGCTCTCCCCGGACCCCGCATTCACAATATCCGCTCTCCCTGGACCTCGCATTCACTATAGCCGCTCTCCCCGGACCCTGCATTCACTATATCCGCTCTGCCCGGACCCGGCATTCACTATGTCCAGTCTCCCCGGACCCCGCATTCACTATATCCGCTCTCCCCGGACCCCGCATTCACTATATCCGCTCTCCCCGGACCCTGCATTCACTATATCCGCTCTCCCCGGACCCAGCATTCACTATATCCGGTCTCCCTGGACCCCACATTCACTATATCCGCTCTCCTCGGATCCTGCATTCACTATATTCGCTCTCCCCGGACCCCGCATTCACTATATCCGCTCTCCCCGGACCCTGCATTCACTATATCCGGTCTCCCTGGACCCCACATTCACTATATCCGCTCTCCTCGGATCCTGCATTCACTATATTCGCTCTCCCCGGACCCCGCATTCACTATATCCGCTCTCCCCGGACCCCGCATTCACTATATCCAAACTCCCTGGACCCGCATTCACTATATCCGCTCTCACCAGACCATGCATTCACTGTATCCGGACTTCCTGGACCCTGCATTCACTATATCCGCTCTCCCCAGACCCCGCATTCCCTATATCCGCTCTCCCCGGACCCCACATTCACTATATCCGCTCTCCCCGGACCCCGCATTCACTATATCCGCTCTCCCCGGACCCCGCATTCACTATATCCGCTCTCCCCGGACCCCGCATTCACTATATCCGCTCTCCCCCGGACCCCGCATTCACTATATCCGCTCTCCCCGGACCCCGCATTCACTATATCCGCTCTCCCCGGACCCCGCATTCACTATATCTGCTCTCCCACAGTACAGAAAACATAGAAATTCAATTATTTTAGTAAATATAAACGGCTAAATGCCTTTTCAGCAGTACATAGCAGTCTTGTGACTTCTATCAGTTTCCAGATGAGCACAAGTTAAACTTGTAGGAAGAGTTTTCATTCTCTCTGATTGTCTTTTGAGGCTGCATAACCCCCTAACCCTCTGCCTGGACAGTGCTAATTGGCCCAGTGCTGATCACATGCATCATTCCAAAGAAAAAAAAATCTCTCTAGCAATACACACCAAACCGATCATGTGCAGAGTGACTCCTAGAGCTCTGTACTATCATCAGATGGATTGGGGACAGTAGTAGAAGAAGGGGATGATCAGAGAAGACAAGTATAAACAGCCTTTTTATACAATTCAGAGGATTAGGTTCCACAGTGAGCAGGGGCGGACTGACCATTCGAACACTCGGGCACTGCCCGAGGGCCCAGGGTCAGTAGGGGGCCCCATGAGATGCCCCTGGTACCTTTCGTTGGCTTTTTCATAGGCTTTTTTGGGTGTTGGTGAAGACACAGGAGCCCCATGATCCCTTATTGCCCGGGGGCCCCATGAGTTGTCAGTCCGCCACCCTGACAGTGAGTATAACAAGCACGCTTTACTGCATCTACAGACTGATTGTACTGTTGGGGGTTCAGGAACACTTTACCATAAGTAGAGAAAAGTCAGGTCTGAAGCTCGGCTGTGTTATATGGCAGAGATGTGTACATTTCAGGACTGGATGGACAGCAATGCAAATACTTTGGCAGGTCAAAGGACTTCTATAGGAATGTTTCAACTGTGCATTTGTTTGCCTGGAATTCAGCTTCATATAAAGGAATGTGACAATGTTTCCAATTAAATGTGAACAGTACGTTTAGCGACAGAAGCAGATGGTTTGCAGAAGGTATTTAGAATTTTGAATCCTATTACCAGGGGCGGACTGACAACTCATGGGGCCCCCGGGCAATAGGGGATCATGGGGCCCCTGTGTCCTTGCCCAAACTCAAAAAAGCCTATGAAAAAGGTACCAGGGGCATCTCATGGGGCCCCCTACTGACCCCGGGCCCTCGGGCAGTGTTCTGTTAGTGGATCCTGCTCAGGTGCTCACACACTGTAGTTAACAGGAGACATTTTATTAGATGCTCCTAGCTGCCATTATACATGTGTCTGCATAAGAACTACAACCAAAGAGAGGGAATAACACAGTTGTACCGTATCTAAGTAGTGAGACCCCTAGAGGCCATACACAGCATATAACATATTGCTACATCCTTTCTCTTTTAAATAAAAGAACAATGAAATATAACAAACACAACATGGTGAAGTAGAACATAGCTATAAGTTAGATATAATCCTTGAGGTGAGCCGGCTTTCTGATTGTTCTGCCAGCTCTCGTAACATATGAGGTTTCTTCACAGAAATCTTGGTGTTCTTCTGATTCTGGCAGTCTATTTTCTGGGACTGTCTCTCTCTGCCTAGAGACCTCCCTATGCTCCTCAGCAGTCCCTGTTTCTTTGTTGCTGGTATTCATAGTCTCATTGCTTTGAGTGTCCATATACTGTTCCCAGGGCCCTGTATCATCTCCTTCTTGTGTTTTTCTCAGATGTCTCCGATTTCTCCTCCATCTTCTTCCTTCCTCTGTTATAATTTCATAGGATCGTGGTCCCAATTTCTGCACAACCTTCGCTTTTTTCCAGTGTTTGTCATATTTCCCTATTGGCTGAATCCGTACATTGTCATTGCTCTGGAGAACAGGCAGATCTTTTGCAGATTTATTATAATAGAAAGCTTGCCTATCTTGATTCTTCGTTAGTTTGGCTTTAACATTGCCCACAAGCTTTGGCTTTAGTAGTTGACCTGCAGTTGGTAGGAGAGTCCTTGTACGTCTACTCATAAGCCGCTGTGCTGGACTGGTGTCTAGGCCTTGTGTGGGTGTGTTTCTGTGGTCCAGTATAGACAGGTATATCTCTGTACCTGCCTGTTTTGCCTTTTGCATGAGTCTTTTGGCTGTTTTTTACTGCTGACTCGGCTTTACCATTACTCTGCGGATATCCAGGAGATGATGTCTGGTGCTCAAATTCCCACCTCTCCCTGAATTTTTTGAATTCGTCCGATGTAAATTGAGCGGCGTTGTCAGAGAACACAATATCCGGAATGCCATATCTGGCAAAATGGGCCTTGAGTTTTTTAATTACTGTTTTGGCCCTTGTGTCCTGTAAGTAGTCTATCTCCCAGAAGTTGGAAAAATAGTCCACAGTTACCAGATATTCCTTGTCGTTCCACGTGAACAGATCTGTTTCCTACTTTTGACCATGGTCTGTTTGGAATTGTATGTGGTTGCAATGTCTCTTTCGGTTGCTTATCATTGCACGATGCACATATTTCACACTGTGCTATAAAGTTTTTTATGTGGTCATTCATTCCAGGCCAATAAACATATTCTCGTGCACGACGTAGACATCCTTCTACACCTAAGTGAGTCGAGTGCAATCTTTCTATAATGTCTCTTCTAAGGGATGTTGGTATGACAGCCCTTTCTCCTTTAAAGATGATTCCATGCTGCACAGAGAGTTCATCTCTTATATGAAAAAATGGAGAAACCTCCATTGGAGCATGCTGCTTGTGTTTTGGCCATCCCTTCAAGATGACAGTCGTTAGGATCTGTAGAGTTTTATCTTCCGCTGTGCCGGTTTGTATTTGTTTCAGTCTGTCTTTTGAGACAGACAGATATTCACACATATTGATGCTTTCAATGTCTTTTTCTTCTTCATTTGTGATGGGTAAGTAAGCTCTGCTTAGGGCATCTGCAATCAGTAAATCCTTTCCTGGACAGTAACAAATGTTCAAATCATATTTCTGAAGCCTTAACAGCATACGCTGCAGTCTTTTTGGGGCATTCAGTGGTGGCTTCTTTGTAATACTTTCTAAAGGCTTGTGATCTGAATGCACCACCACTTGTGGACCGTAGGTGTACTGGTGAAATGTCTCTAACCCAAATACTACCGCTAGTAGTTCCTTCTCGATTTGAGCGTATCCTTGCTCTGTTAGAGCTAACGCTCTGCTTGCATATGTGATTGGCTGTTTATCCTGCATTAGTGTGGCTCCAAGGCCAGTTTCTGAGGCATCACATTGTACTACCACTGCTTGATCTGGATCAAAATATTTTAGCGTTGCTGCGTCTGCAATAGCATTTTTCACTGACTGAAAAGCAGTTTCATGGCTTTCTGTCCATTCCCAGAGTACGTCTTTGTGAGTTAGCTGTCTCAGTGGCTCACACATGTCTGATAAATGCTTGCAA